TTTTTTTTTTTTTTTTAAATAGAAAGTGATATAATGTGTAAATTTAAAGACTAATTGGCCATCTCATATAAGACTGATCTGTACATATATTATAATATTTGTATTTTACTTTTCTTGTTGTCGCGGAAGACCCGAAAACGTCTGTTTATTGTTTTGTATATTTATTTATTATTTATTTTTATTACTATTATTTTTACTTTTATTTTATTACTCGCTGCTATTGTGTTCTTTTAAATTATATACCCATCCACGTTTTAAGCTCATAATAACTCAACGGAAGCGTGTGTGATCCGTGTTCGTGGGACAACCATTCTTCAAGTACACTGTTATATTTTTTGAGATGGCCAAAACYAATATTTTAATTTAAATAATTGAATTGTTTAGAAAAAAACTCGCGTTTATTCTTATTTCGTAGAAAATCGTTTAAATCTCATCCTTACTACAACCTACTATCCCACCCTCGATCGTTCTACCACTCGTGTAATAAATATAAAACTTGTAATCACATGTTATATATTATATTTGTACATACACTTAGTTTTAAAGCGTTTAGTTTTTAATTTTGATAGTTTTTTTTTTTATTAAATTAATAGTATTTGTTACACGCATATACAGCCGTTTATCCTTCAGTTGTATCCGTGTAACCGATACCTATTAATATAGTGAGGTTCATAACGCAGCAGTGCATAATGATATTATAATATATTTTGTTGACGATACGCGTGAATCCTGTCTCTCTCATTATCCACGAACCACGTCATCATCATTGTTATCATTTGTTATTCGTTAAAATAATATCGTGATGTCTAGTAGCTTCGATCGGCTGTAACATATATCGTTTGCTCATTAAAGTCAGAATAAATACTATTAGTGGAAAAAAAAATTCTAGTCATTAGCGTGATTAGAAACGCGTCCTGCCTAGGTCAATGCGGTACCATAATATTCTATGAAGAAGCATTGCTGCATTATCTTTATATTCTTATTAGTTATCTAAATAAAATTATTACATAACATGTATTTATAAACATGTTATTCTATTTTAATTAAAACTATATTATAATAATATTATGTCAAAAATCATATTGGTTTAGTTTTAATCGAATTTAACTTTACCCCAATATTGCTTACTCTCGAATAATATTTATAATGTATTGTTTTAATTATACGTAGGTAGAATATATTATTATGTATATTATTAATCATTGTCAAATATATCATATCAAAACCATTATAGTGTATATAATATTATTTAGTATTTACTGTTTAGTGTAGAGTAGAGCTCATTAGTCGCTCTAAGATTGTGTAAATATCATWATATCATTATATTATCACATAGGTAGACTTGGTAGTAATAAATAACTAACGTTATACTCATATAACATTGTAAATTAAAGTAAAATTATTGTAAAATTTATTATTATTTCTAACTATTGTGATTTATATATTTATTGTTATCATCATCATCGTAATATTATTATTTATCTTTATATTATTATTATTATTATTATTAAATATTTATTTTATTTTATTATGTATATAATATCAATGTCAATGGATATGCTAATCGATTTATAATTTTATTTCAGCCGATTAATGTACAAGATCCATTTTTATTTATTGTACTAAGTGAATTGTAAAAATAAACAGTGTTATTTTTGGATATATAAATTATAAATTTTTTTTAATGCAATATATTTAGAATTTGACCCTGTGTAGTCTAGATTGTGGGTTAGTGCTGCGGAGGTGAAGGTGGATAATGCACAATGGAGAATGTAACAGTATAATAATATAATCATTATTAATTATTATCAATATCAGTAATCGTGAAAATTCCGTATATTAAAGTTTATGATGATCATCACCCGCGCTTTCGAGTGTTGTAGTTCAGTCTCGTTTCGCGTCAATGATGTATATCACATACAATGCATACACACACAACACTACATTATATATACACATTGGACTTCAATCGTCGCTGCGGTTAATCGTTTTTGGTTTTGGCGGCTCGTCAAAACTAACATGTACATAATATTATAATACTACGCCCGTGCATGATTCTGCATAGCACAAAAATACGTGTAATGATAATAATACATAATAGTAATATGCTTTCTAGGTCGACCATCGTATGCACATTATTTGTTTGGCTCGCCCAATGGTATTTAGCAGTTGTTGTATATTTGTGACATGCCTATATTAAATAGTTTTCCCCGTTTCGCCACTCGTACGTCACCCGACTTTCCAAAATATATAACATATTAATATATATATTATTTCAGTCATTCATACGACAGTTCGATCTTATTAGCTCRCTGTACCTACAATATAGTATTTCGTATATCATAATATACATTATCGGGGGGTGTAGTTGCCGGGCAGATTTAGGCGACGGTTGTGACGCGCACCGTCGCCTGTTTGAATCCCGGACATGGGCGGCATCGCTTTCCGGGCAGTTCATGCTGTCTGGRAAGTGGAAAGAGTGGCCGCCGCCCCCCATCCGGGCATGGCAGAAACCTACGGGTGCCCATTCGAAATTCTGTCAAAAAAACCMCCCACAGTTCCACATGCTAATGGGCCTTGGTGTCGAAGTCTCAATCACAATAAAAAAAATAAAATAAAAATACATTAACGGCGCATGATTAACGATATATGTACTATAATATTATAATGATTTATCTATTTATCGACTGGATTTATATATTATATATAATAGCAATTTTTTATTCGTTTGAATAAAACGGCCAGGAGCCCAATTTTTTGCCCATATTATTATTTGTTTTTGTTTTATATTTATTGAGTTTCAACTATAGTAATCTAAGTGAACAAGAACATAAATTCGTATAACATACCTATACATTCTAACGGATTAGCTGTTAGCCATTATCGTCAAAAAAKAATTGACAAAAATTGAAATGGTAAAAAAAATTTMAAAAACTTCACCTAATAATGTATGAAATTATTTGATTGGAAAAAATAAAATAAAATAATTCATTATTTGTAATGTAAAAAATTTTCATAAAGTTTATTTTGTGTAGTTTCATATCAGTAAGAACACTAAGAAATAATAGTCATTAATAAAGTAGATACCTACTTTATTATTCTAACCTAATACTGTGAATTGTGACAATTAACAACTGTGATTATAATTATTAATTTTTAATTCCTTCTCCYCCCCACAAATAAACAATCATGCGTATGCCATTAGAACAGGTTAATGAATAAAACAAAATAAATATAAAAGAGAAAAATGCATGCACGGAGTATGAAAGAAAAAGAAAACAACAGAAGATAATCTTTTTTTATTGATCTAATATAAAATTTGGCTGCATACAGAGCTGCAGTAGTTATATACATTTTTTTTTTTACTTAAAGTTTTATTTTATATACTTTGTAATAATACATAATACAGTGATAACAGACAATATAACATAATGATAGGTTTATAGAAAACAGTAGGTATATCCAGGGTTTGGAACATTCATTCAAAAAATAAATGCATTCACATTCACATTCATAGAGCTTAAAATTGAATGTATTAGCACTCAACATTCAATTTTTCAAAAAGAATGCATTCATACTTGCATTCTTTTCTTAAAAGAATGYATTCTTAACCACATTCATGTAAAAAAATGTTTTATTTTATTTGAATAAAACATAATATATTAATTTATTTTTTGTGTTTAACGAGGCATTTTATATATTACATGAACCATATCAATAAACGAGGTAGGTATAGCAAATTGAAATAACACACATTTTAAACATTAACTGCATTAACAATATTATATAATATTGTATCTATATATATATATAAATAAATAAAATATTAAAAATAATAATTATTTGTTATTGTGGTTGAAACTGAGACGATAATATTCTAATCTTGCCGCAGATTATGTAGATAAGTAGATAGACTAGTAAAAACTATTTTTTGGTATTAAAAATATAATATTAATATATTTTCCATGTGATTAGAAAAAGAATGCATAATTACATTCAATTTCCATTCATATTCGTTTGAGAAATAAATGCATTCACAATCATAATTCATAATGTAAAARTTGAATGTACTCATGAATGGATCAAAGAATAAATCAAAGTCGGTATAATTAGATTGCATTGAGGCATAGATCCATAGACCATAGATAGTGGTGATTTTTTTTGCGAAATACGAGATTGATTAAAAAATTATTATAAATAATCCGAAGGTAGTAATCACGTAGGTAGGTGGCGATGGTGTCGTGTATAATATATACGTTCTACCATTATACTTGTTTGAGATTCATTAGACATTAGCATTTTCTAAATTAAGTAGTTGCTCAGCTYTGTAGTTCTATTTTTATCGCCGAAATRTGTTGCAACGAAACATATAATAATATATTTCATCATCTTGTATTAATAATTATTTCCTTTGATATTTGAATATATTTTGTATTGTTGGCTTCGTTTCTTGTCTCATCAATAAATTCTTTCTTATTCTTCTTTTGTAATTTTTATCAATATGACAATATGTATATGTTATTTTTGTGTTTTAATTTAAATTTKATGATTAATATGTACTTCCATAATACTATGATAGAAACCATCATACTACATATTAATCGAAAAACTATCTGTGAACAGAAAAAAAAAAAATAATATCTTTTAGGTACATAAATAATACGATAAATCGTAATATAATAAATTTACGACGATATTATTATTTGTTATTTTTTTTTTA